TTTAATCTATTTATTATATAATCTAAATCATTGTCATTTTTTTCATTTTAATTAATCAATTAATTTAATTTAGATCATGATGAAATGGTGATAGTAAAGAATATTGATGTATTTTCACTATGTGAACATCATTTAGTTCCTTTTACTGGAAAGGTGAAAATTTTTTCTTTTATATCCTTCTTTTGTATCTTTGTTCTTTTTCTTAAAATCTCTTCTTAAATGAACAAACAGATAAGTATCGGATATATTCCGAATAGACGTGTTCTTGGTATATCAAAATTAGCAAGAATAGCAGAAATGTTTTCAAGAAGACTTCAAGTACAAGAACGTTTAACTAAACAAATTGCTGTGGCTTTAGAAGAAATACTTAAACCACAAGGTGTTGCTGTTGTCTTGGAAGCAAAGTAATTAATGATTTAACGAATATTTTTCTAATAAATGATTTCCTCTAATAAACTTTATTTTATTAGTCATTTATGTATGGCAATGCGTGGTGTACAGAAACCTGGAAGTACAACTGTAACAAGTGTTATGTTGGGTGTATTTAGAGAACAAGCTAAAACAAGAGAAGAATTTTTGACTTTAATAAGAACTTAATAATAAATTAAAGGAAAAAAAAAAAATATAGAAATTAAATTATTTAAAAAAATAAAAAAAGATAAAAATTTGTTATATACACTACTAATACAAATTCCTTGTCTCCTATTTCTGCATTAGTGTAGATATTGGTAAATGTTAGAAGTTAGTTAACTGTCCTTGCTCTTGATTGTAAAAACTACTTTGCAAGATTCTCTAGATTTGACTCATCTAAATATTATAATCACGTGGCTAACTATTTTTAAATTTATGGTCACATGACCAATAAAGTTGTCCGTAAGGCGCAGTATTGATATTAATATTACTTTGTCACATGATAGATTTCTAAATCAGGGAAAATTTTATTACGCGAATTTTATTGTTTTTATTCAAATCAATATATTTATTTATCTGTCTGTTATTATTATATATAAATTTATTATATTTAAAA